AAGCAATTTTTAAAAAGATAGACAGCAGCACCTGGGGAAAAACAGATGAGGTTTACTGTGGCATCTATATGCACACAAGTACATGTACACACTCACACATGTGCCCACACAAGCACACACACACACACACACACACACACACACACACACACACACACGACAGTGATTGGAGAGAAACTGGCAATAGCAGATGACTTCCTGGCCAACCTTGGAGAAGAAATTGGAAGGTACCATCTGGAACCCAGTGGGCATATGACATCCTGGCCAGTGAAGCGGCCCAAGGGATTTTTGTGGAACCAGAAAAGATAGATCCTAGCGCCTGGTGAAAAGGATGAGCCCAGAGGCAAGCGTCTTATTCGTGCTCACACCAGGAATAGTCTAGCTTTCCAGACCTTCCACCTGGGCCACACCGTCTGATATGGGGACAGCTCCACAAGTGTCTCTGGGAATGCACCCGCTGGCCTACATCGACCCCACACATGGGCGTCTGTGAGCTTCCAGGTGATCTGGCACACTGCCCTTCCAACGACAGCAGAGGATGAGCTGCTCAATAAGAAAACCTGGGGCTAGAAAGAAGCCTGCTACGAAGCCCTGGGACTTAGGACAACCCTGTCTGACTCTGTAGAACCAAGGGCCCAGAATGCAGATTCCGGCCCGCAATCCAGTCTACATGGTTTCTCATTGAAGACCCACCCCCTTACCGGATTCTAGGCTGTGTCCAAGAGACAGTTAAAACTAACCAGCACACACCCTCCACTAACCATGCCAACGAGCCCCCTCATGGCCCCCTTCCTCCATCAGACCCCACCGGGGCAGATAGGCATGGTCCTCTGGGGCACTTCTTTTAGGGAACCTCCTCTTTACTTGATCTGCCTGTTGCTGGCTAAGAGACCCTGATACAAAGGACTTGAACAACAGGTGCCAGGAAATCCTTGGCTAGGTCTCGCCCAGAGCTTGGTACCCAAGAAGAGGCGGGAAATGTGTGGACTCCACTGTGTAGCTCATTTTCATTGCTCACAGTCCTCACCTTCTAACAGATTCATCGAATCTACTAATGATGTAACAGGGAGGGCCAGCCGGGAGCTAGGTAGAAGACAGATGGCTGGGCCAATCCCCCAGGCCCTGGGCCTGATGCTGGGAGCCAGGCCTGGCCTCGCACCTCCCACACCCCACCATTTACACAAGTTCCCCAGTGACTGCTCCCTCTAGTCCTTGGTCCACCCTCGGGGGACTCTGCTGTCCACACAGGGCCACGCCGCCGCCGAGAAGTCTCTGGACAGAGAAACAGCCTTGAGTAGTGCTTGCCAGCAATGTGGGCAACTCCCAACCCCTGCTTCACAACGTGAAAACAGAATAACAAGCAGATACATTCAAAGTGTTCAATCTGGAGGAGTAATTTGCTCCAGTGAGGGAATTTCCTTCTCTTCATTTTTTGGAAATGCCAAGAAACAAAACTTTGAGTGTGATCAGATGGCCTAGTCAGAGCGTGGCCCACTCACCCATTAATACCTCAGAGAGAAAGCTTAGGGTTCCCCTTGAAAGAACCCAAGCTCAGACTTCTCAAACATGAAACCATTGATCCTGGCTTCAGATTTTTAATTAAAAAAAAAAAATTCCCTTATGCTACACGCATACACACGTATGCACACACCAGCTTTTGGTTCACAATGAGTGTGTGGCCTTTTCTGTGTTGCTCACAGAGGTCCAGGGGACAGACCCAGGCTGGGTGGAGGTGCCCCGCTCTGTTCTACACAGGGTATGCCCCAGTCTCCACGTCCCGCCTACCACAGCTGGTGAGTGACTCGGACAGTAGTCTGTGCACTTTCCCAATTACCATAGCTCTCGGAGCTGACTGAAAACCAGTAGCAGCTGGCAGGAAATGGGTGAGAAAACTGACCACAGATAAACTGCAAGGCTCTACAGGAGCAGCAGATAGACTCCAGAGCAGGAAGTTATGCTAGCAGGACTCAAGGCCAAAAGGGCTCGGGCCCCAACAGGACTCCGGGACCCGTGGTGGGGACTGCTGCCGTGACTTCAAGATGAGGCTGGGCTCCACCCACCACAAGCACATCCAGGCAGAGCCATGTCCACTGGAGGAGAAAGGGACTGCACCAAAGAGACACACCAAGCCAAGTCCTGGCCTCTGGTCACGGACAAAGGCAAAAGCTACAATGATTTGGATGTGATGTCATAGCCAAGCCGGGGCAAACACTCATGGAATCAAATTAACCATAACCCATGAGCTCTTTAATGAGGGTTCCTTCAGGGGGGGAAAAAATAGCCTGTTCTAAGGCAAGGGACCAGGCTCAAGAAGTACATGTAGACAGCAACAAGCCCAGAGGCTCTGACCCCCAGCTCCCTCCAGCTTCTCAGAAGACTCTGAGAGCAGAGATACACAAGACATGATCACCGGGCAGCAGAACAGACCCTTCCCATATGTGGCTCTCCTTAACACTCATGCGTACCACAGGAGACGGGTCAGATTAGCCTGTATTTACAGAAGAGCAAATGCGGACCAAGGACTGGTACATGGAGCTCTGCACAGCACGGCCTGTTAGCCAGATGTGTAAGCCAGATGTGTAAGCCGTGCCCTCCCTGTGCGCTGGGTGCCAACGGCCTCTCTTCACAAGGAGCCATCCGTCGCTAAGGGAGAGAGCAGCCAGCTGGAGAGCGAGAGCCGTGCCTGGCTCTGTCGCTGAATAGCGCACAGCCAGGCCCTAGTGTTATTGAAAAGCACCTTCCCAGTGGCCCAGGTCGGCAGCTGCCCAGGACGCCACCCTTGGCAGCCCCGTCCCTGGTGGCACCCACTCTTTTTGCACCCCGAGCAGATCCCGCAGGGCTTCCGAGAGCCTCCCCGGCAGGAAGTGACCAGGCTGTGAGCCACCCAGCTTCACGGTGACGGTGACGTGCTTTGTGACAAGCTGCCAAGGCTTGTCAGGAGCTGCAGCAGCGGTGCTTGAACTTGTGACTGTCTGCAGTCCCTTGGCAAGGGAAGGGGCACATCTGGAAGGGGCAGATGTGAGTGCCCATGAGGCTCAGGGTGAGATTCCCTTCCTGTGTGGAGAAGGCTCAGCACACGCCTGCCCCGTGAGCAGGTGGTCCCCTGTGCTGGGCCCCTGGGCTATTGCTTGGGTTAACAAGACAGGCCTCAGCTGGGTCTGACTCACTCTCGTTCCTGGAACCGTCTGAAGGCGGGAGAGGATGCTGTGGGTAGGCTCCAACTGTATCATCTGGGCTGGGGCCCATAGCAGATGGTCCTTAAAAAAAAAAAAAAAAAAAGACATACTTCCATGTGAGCTTAAAATAGCACACTGTTCACCATCAGCTGAATGGGGAAATGTATGAGCTAGTCCACATGGGAGTGGGCATCGCGAGCTTCTGTGAAGGAACGAGAGACCTAGGCTTCGTCTGTGGCCAAGGGAAACCTTGGTGCCCACCCCGTGCTTGGCCTCACTTTGTTTGGCTTACAAAACACAGCAATTCCCAGGCCTCGGGACCCTTCCAGTTGCCTCAGTGAGCCTCAGAGAAGCCAGGGACCTGACACACACCTGGGAGGCTAGACATGGAGACAGCGGCATTCCTGCTGCCCTCTCTTAGGCAGCTGGAGAAACCCCTTCTTCCAGAGAGTCGGGAGGATGGAGACACCCACAAGGGGCCCCAACGTAAGGTTGGTCCGGAATTGATCTGTGTCAAGCCTGGAAGACTGTGGAAGCCAGGCCCAGGTTCTGCCCCCCCAGAGAAGCTCTCCCGACCACCCCTCGCAGTGTCTGTCTGTGACAGGTTACTTCCTCTTTGCACCTCAGTTTCCTTATCTGTCAGATGGAGCAAATGTGGGGGCCTGCCTCTGGGGGAACCCCAGCACATGCAGGTGCTCTACAAAGAGAACATGGCACAGCCTGTCTGTCTCTCAGTGAGGAGAGAGCCCAGCTGCCCCTGTCACTTTAAACAAGGCTTACTTAAGGTCCATACTTAATTCGCACTACATGTTAGCAAGAAGAATATATCAGCTCTGAGAGGCCCCCTCCATCCTCCCTGGGCCCCTGCTACGTCAATATGGAGTGGAAGAGCCAGAGGTTGCTATGGTTTACTCCACCTAAGAAAGGCCGTGGTAGGCAGGCCTGATTCCCTCCTGCTGCCCAGACCCTGAGAGCCCAGCAAATAGGAGCTCCGGCCACCATGGCCTTTGAAAGACAGGAGACTTCCAGACACATAGCGAAGAAGAGAAACCTTCAAGGAAGCCAGAGGCCTCTTGACATTCCATCCAGACAGGGGCTTGTCTGAGGTAGAGGTGTCCACTGAGGAAGCCTCGGTCTTGGGGGTGTGGCATGCTAGTAGATGTGCAGCAATCAGCTCCAGGGAGTAATAGAATTAAAAGTAGCTCTGGTTATAGTTTGTACCAATTTATATGGTATAAACACTCCTGCCTTGGTCGATTTCATCACTGAGGGCAAATGTAGGAATAGCAAAACAGTCCAACTGCCCTGAGGACCCAAGTCTCACACTCAGAGCGTATCAGAGCAGATGGCTTTTCCTACTTACAGGCTTACTACCTGCTCAGGGGACCGGGAACAGGCAGTAACCAGTCTCAGTCAGAGGCAAGAGGACCAGAAAGGTTGCTGCATTACAGGTTAGATGTGAGAAGTCCCTCACAGGCTCATGTGTTAAAACACTTAGTCACCAGCTGGTGGCGCTCTCTGAGAAGTTTCGGGAACCTTTAAGAGGTGAGGCTGTGGTGGTTTGAATGAGAATGGCCCCCATGGGCTCATATATTTGAAAACTGGATCCACAGTTGGCAGAATAGTTTGGGAAGGGTTAGGAGGTGTGGCCTTATTGGAGGAGGTATGTCACTGGGTCTGGGCTTTGAGGTTTCCAAAGGCTCCCAGTGTACTTTCTCTGTCTCATGGTTGTGGATCAAAATGTGAGCGCTCAGCTGCTCCTTCTCTCCATCATCATGGACTCTAGCCCCTTGAAACCCCAAGCCAAAATAAATGCTTTCTTCTATAAGTTGCCTTGGTCATGGTGTTTTATCACAGCCATTGTAAAGTAACTGAGACAAGGGCCTAGGTGGAGGAAGTGGATCACCGGGGAGGCAGGCCTTGAGGTTTACAGTCCTGCTCAAGTTCCTGTGCCCTCTCAGCTTCCCGGTCCACAGAGATATGAGCAAATAGTCATGTGTTCTGCCACCATGCTTCCTCTACCGTGACAAAGTCTACCTTCAAATTATCAGCCCAAATTAATCCTTTCTCCCTTAACCTCTCGTCAGGTATTTTGTTATGATAACCAGAAAACTATGAAAATCAGATAGCTATGACCTGGGAATGAATACAAGGTTAAGGCAAAGGCTCTTGGGCTGGGCACTAGTTAGCTGGGCCTAGGCAGATCTCCAGTCTGTTGAGCTGTATGGCTTTGGGTACTGAGCCACCCTTGACCTCTACAAAAATAGAGAAGACTAGAATCTAGTTTAGCATATGGATAAAGATGACGGTTAATCACAACGATCAATTTATTGGGTTGAGAAATGCCTGGGAGATTACCCTTCCGGGTGTGTCTATGAGGGCATTTCCAAAATTTCCAGAGAGGATTAACTACAAGTAGAAAGCCTTTCCTGAATGTGGGTAACATCACTCACCAGGCCCAGCTGGCGTGAAAGTGGGGGAGTCTAGCATCATCCTGCTGATTCTCTGAGCTTCCTTCACAGCCCTGGTACTGTGTGACTACTCATTTGTGTAGCAAATTAACACCTGGCTCTCCCACTGGGCTAGGAGTCCACAAAGGCATAGCTGACCAGTATTTTGAACAAGGTCACTCTTTGCCACGAGACACTGTGCACTATAGAACATCCCCAGCTTTTACCAACTAATTGCTAGGAGCACCCCAAGTCATTGAGCCAGGAATCCATGTCCTTGGTCAGTTCCATTCATTCTAGGAGCTGGGACTGCCTGTACAGAGACCCATCATCCTAGATCCTGGGAGCCATGAGCACAGTCTCTCTGTCTTGGTTTGTTCAGCCCCTCAGTGTCCTGGGGGATCTCAGAACAAAGTTGATGCTCAGGAAATGCATGCTGGTAGATGGATCTGCAGCTCGTACTCACAGGCTGCTAAGTAGGCAATTCTGGGGCTGCAAAGAACTTGACAGTTGGGGTCTTAGGAACCCAAGACCCTAAAAAAATATTGTTATCTGCCCAAGGGGCTCAATTGGGCAGGACCCAAGCCAGCCTTCCGGTCACTTCACCTTCTCCAGCATCCCAAAGCGCAGGAGATGATGCAACTGCTTCCTCTGCCCTGTGGCAGGAGGTGGAGCGGCTGGCGTCTCTCGCTGGCAGCCAGGGTCCTTGTTCCCCCTGGCTGCTGCCAATCTTCTTGAAGGCCTGCCCAGGAAGCTACTGTCCAGTGAGAAGCGAGCTGGAAAGCAGAGCCGTGCACAGACCAGCAGTGAGCACAGCTGTGGGGCCGTGGAAGCCGATAGACGTTCCAGGGCAGTGCACAAATTCTCCATTCAGACCCTTTCCTCTGGCTTCCAGCTCTCCGTGTCCATCACGCTGTTGAGTGTCTTTCCCATCATCCAAATGCCAGCCAGAGCCACTTCAGGGGTCCACTAGGAGCATCTGGCTTTGTGTCCCACTTAGTCAACAAACACATAGCCAGCACTCCCACGCCTCATGCTGTTCGCTCCAGAATTGACATCCATCCTCCCCACCATTGGCTTTACTGGATCCCTGTCTAGTTATCCCATCCAACAGGATGGCTTTGCACTTGACAGTGCTAGGCCCTGGTCCCACAGTATCCAACAGGTCCCCATATCCACCCCTGTCCTGATGAGCTCACAGCAGATGCTCTCTCTTGCCATGAGCTTGTTTTATTTAACTGTGGTCTTTAGCCTGTGTTGGGGGTTCTGCAGGGTCTTTAGCCATCCTACAGAGTCAAGACGTCCATGCATCTGAGACCTTCCGAGAACAAGTTAGCGTTCTGCATTGAGAACACGGGTACCAAGTGAAGAGGAGAGGCCAACACGGGTTGGAGTCCAAAAGAGCCTTGCATTAGGCTGTGTTAGATGTAGGGGTGGTAACAATGGCCAATGTTTCCTCGGTGCTACGGTGTCCCAGACAATGTATACAGACTGTCTCATTGGATCTGCACAATGACCCCATGACATAGCAGCTACTCTTAGTTCCACTTTACAGAGGAAAGGACTGAGGCACATTGAATTAAACCTGCTTGAGATCAGGTGGCTTGCAAATGGCAAAGCCAACATTTAGACCCACGCAGTCCAACTTCAAGGTTGATACATGGAAATAGCAAGGACAACTCAGGTGTGTCAGTTATGGGCAGCTGGGTAACAAACATCCCCAAACTCAACAGCCAGATGCAACATGTGTGTATGGTCTCCTTGTTCCAGGAGTCTGGAAGTAGCCAGCTGGTCTCTCTCACACAGGATGTTCATAAACTGTGGTCAAGACAACCTGAGGTCATCTCTGAACCAGAGGAGGGAACATTCAGCTCATTCATGCGGCTCTTGACCAGACACCTGAGCTCCTTACGGTGTGGACATCCCCCCAGCACAGCTCACAACGTAGCAGCCAACTTAAGAAGCATGAACAAGTGAGCCAAACAGAGGTCCCGGTCATCCCGCAGTCTCATCACAGAGGCCAAGGGCCACTGCTCCCACCGTGGTCTGCTCATGAGAGGTGAGCCTGAGTCTGGCCGTAATCAGAGGAAGGGGATGCAGGATGAGGGATGCAGGATGAGGGATGCAGGATGAGTGGCAGATGTGGCATCCCTGAGATGGGGACCAAGAGACACTGCCCACCTCGGACCTGGAGCAGAGACGGAAGTCTACGGAGAACAGGTGGAAACTGAGTCTTTAGTTTGAGGCTCTACCATCCACCCCAGGAATCCCAGCCCTCCCCGACTTCTCTGTGTGTGTGTCTGTGTGTGTCTGTGTGTGTCTGTGTGTGTGTGTGTGTCTGTGTGTGTCTGTGTGTCTGTGTGTGTCTGTGTGTGTGTGTGTGTACATGCACACACATGTTCCTCTGTGCACATGTGTCAACCTGCATGCCAAAGGGCAGAGGTCAACCTCAGGTATCATTTATCGGAGCTGTTCACCTTGTTTCTCAAGACAAGGTCCCTCGATGGGACTTGAGGCTTACCCATTAGGGTAGTCTGGCTGGCGAGTGAACCCCAGGGGATTTCCCTGTCTCCACCTCCCTCCCTGGGCCTGGGATGACAAGCACATACCACCACACTTGACTTCTTATGTGTGTGCTAGGGATTGAATTCAGCATCCACCTTGGTGTCTGCTCGACCTCCGTCAAGTCTTCTTAGGTAAGGATCAGGGTCCTCAGGGTGAGCTAATTCAGACACGCTCCTCCCCCTCCCCCGCCCTTCCCACACGCTAAGTGCTGAAGAAGAGGCAGGCTCCTGTTCTTGGTTTTCTGTTTGTTTGTCTCCTTTGATTGAGTCTTGTTTTGATGCAGGATCTTGCTATGTACCCCTGTCTGACCTCGCACTCACCATGATCCTCGTGCCTCAGCCTCCTTTGTGCTGAGATTACAGGTGTGCAACACCATGCCTGGATTTTGTTTTTGAAGACACGTCCTTCATAAAGGCCATCTATACACAAGGGTGCGTAAACAAACGAACAAACAAAACCAGCATATTTTTGTTGCCGTGGCATCGGGCCAGAGGCTTGGTGCCATATCCATTCCTCCACTGTTTGCCTCTCACTCCTCTAAACAACAGACACGCGTTTCTCCTTCACCGTTCATCCCCTGCTGTCCATCATGAAGACACACCCAAAGGCTCCTGAGCTACAGTTTCCCATCAGTCACTGCTTGGGGTCACTCTCAGAGCCTCGTGTGAGTCGAGAGCTCAGACAGCCAAGTCCCTTGCTCAGAGACAATCCGTGGCTCCCCGAGGCCAAAAGCACAGGACCCGAACTGGAAACTGGCGTTCAAGACCATCAGCCCGCCCTGGAGCCCAAGCCCCACCCTGAGACACCTTGCTGCCATTAAACAGACGTGTGTGCCTCCCAACTTCCTGTTTCCTTGCCGTCACCCATTGCTCCTTAATCCCCAGTGCTCGCCCTGACCCCCTTTTCTCTCCTGGGTCCTGGTCTTCCTTGAATGTCAAGTTCGTGCCCCAGCTTCTCTGAGTCTCTGCAGAACACTGGACTTCACAAGACCCGAGGTGAGATCGACAGTGTCAGTTAAGCCTCGGCTCGGCACGGCACGGCAGGTGGACACAGAAGGGGCGGTGTGCGTGCCCTTCCCTACGCCTGCACCGCCTTAACCTGGCTGTCCGTCTGAGTGCCCTGTGCATGGACGCCCGGCCCTCCGTCATGCAGCTCTCAGTGCGCTTCTCTGTGAAAGCCTGCTTGTCTGTAGCACGGGGCTGGACAGACAGATTTCCCGATACCCTATCCCTTCTCCCCAGGCACGTTCTCACTCGTCACTGACACCAGGCGCAAAGACATCCTTCCACTTGCCAACCGCGACTGTACACCAAGAGAGCTCACAGAGTGTCCGGAGAACCGTAATGAGCCTTTGGAAGAGCACTGAAGAGCAATGTCACCGAGTGCCGCGGTGAGTCCCTCGCCTCATGCAGAGGAGAGACGGCTCTGTATTGAGGGCAGGTGCAGGTAAGCAGGGTATGGGTTGAGCAGATCCATGGTGGCCCTGCCAACACAGCTCCTCCCGTCACCAGCGTCGTGAGCCTCCTGATAACACCAGTGTTCCTCACTGCCAGGATGCTTTTGAACCTCAGATCCACACACTGTTCAGCAATAAACGCCGGAACCCACGTTGCACTTGCTTTTCTGTATTTCGTCAAGGAGGAGACAGGTCCAGTGGTCCCCGAGTCAAATCCCAGCAGACCTAGGCCGTTTACAGAAAAGGCAGAAGTTGGGCCTGGGAAAGGTCTCAGCTAGCAGCAGATGGGGCCTGCCTTGGCTCCTGGAAAGTCCTCAGTAGCCAGGTGCCTTTCTGGAAGTCCCCTAAGTGTTCAAACTGAGGCCAGCAGCTTCTCCCCCATGGTTTTGGTCTCGGGACTACTTGATAAAGCTCTTTAAAGGACTGAACAGCCCAAAGGGTTTTTGTTCGGGTGGAACGTAGCTCGTGGTGTTTGCTGAGAAAAAATAAATAGATATGTATCAGTTTGGATCGGAATAATAATTAGAAGGGCTGGGGGTGTGACTGGGTTGGTAGAGTGCTTGTCTAGACTGTGTGAAGCCCCGGGACGTCTCCGGTACTGTATACAATAGGTGTGGTGCTGCGTGGCTGTAATTTCAGCATACAGGAAGTGGAGCGCAGAGGTTCAGACGTTCAAAAGTACCCCCACCTACAGGATAAGTTCCAGGCTGGCCTGGGATACATGAGACCCTGATTCAAAATACAACAATAACAATAACTGGAGCTGGGCCAGGTGGCACAGGTCTATAATCCCAGAGTCTTGGGAGCTCTACACAGCAGGACATCAAGTTCACAAGTTCAAGGCCAGCCTGAGCAACGTACTTTATCTCAAATGAACAGGTTGTTTGTTTGTTTGTTTGTTTTTGTTATGAGTTCCAGGAGGAAGGATATAGCCAAGTGGTAGCTTACTGGCCTAGCATGTACAAGACCCTGGGTTCAATTTCCAGCACCCCAAAATAGTCAACCATAGCCATAACTAACTCCATTACACTTTTAAATGAATTTCGTATTTCAAGAGGAACTGTTCAGAAGGACGAAGGCTCATGCTTGTCCAGAGCCCCTAATCATCTGACTCACTAGCAAACCCCTGGCTCAGGTCAATCTGCAAATTTCTGCTGTTTAGCTACAGTGTGTGAAGAAAATCAAGCCCCAAACAAGTTGAGAAAAGGCAATGGAGCTTTTTTGGGATTTGTAGATTTACTTTTTTTATCACTACTCCAACACTGGCAAGTGGTAGTCTCTTAGAGGTCAATGGCAATCCAGAATCCATTCATCTGCTGTTCCCGTTGTTAAGACAGGACCTCACATAGCCCAGGCTGGCCTTGAACTCACTCTGTTGCCAAAGATAACCCTGAATTTCTGATCTTCCAGCCTCTGCCTCTCAGGTGCCAAGATTACAGACATGCACAACCACACCCGTTTGTATGCAGTGTTAGGGGGTCCCAACTTGGGGCCTCCTGCATACCAGGCTGAGTCACACCCCAGCCCTGATATTTTTATACACGGTGACATTAAAATCCATTAGCCATTATGCACTGTGAATAGATTGGTTTTATCCATTCATGATTTTGCCACATTGTGAGTTAGTCATTAGGCAAATATTGATTCACTGAGTTATGCAGATCTAGGGGAATGTTGACGCATTTCACTGCTCAGCCATAGTGCTCACACAGCCACCGGTTTATGGGGGGAAGTCTCTGTGTGCTAGAAATCTCTTAAACTCACAGGAGTGAAAAGGGGTTTTCTAAAACTCAGATTCCAATTTGAAAGCTTCACTTTTATGATTGGCAGCGGGGACGGTGAGCTGTTTATCTGGAAGCGTCAGGGTCACTTTCTTCTCAAGAAAATGCCCAAGCCAGGCCTGGTGACATAGACTTGAATTTCCAGCAACCTGGAAAACTGTGGTTGGAAACCAACCTAGGCAGCTTAGTGAAACCCTGTGTCAAAATTTAAGGACGGGCACGAGAGAGAGAGCTCAGTGGTTAAGAGGATGGACTGCTCTTGGAGAGAACCCAGCACCTACATCTGGCAGCTCACAAATGACTGTAACGATTCAGGAGAATCCAATGCCCTCTTCTGGCCTCTGTGAGCAACTGCACTTACATGCACATACCTACACACACACACATACACACACACACACACACACACACACACACACACACACACACACACTTTTAAAATTGAATCCAAAATAACATCCTTAAAAGGCTATGAATCTAGTCCTGTGATAGTGTTCTTGCCTATCATGCAGAATGATCTGAGAGACAGGGAGGAGGGAGAGGAGGAGGAGGAGGGAGAGAAGGAAAGGAAGGACAAGAAAGAGAAAGAAGAACGGAAGGAGAACACAGGGTTTGAATAATCTAGCTTGATTTTGTTTGTTGTTTTGGTGTTTGGGGTTTTTTTTTAGGATTTATTTATAATTTATGAGCATAGGTATTTTGTATGCATGTTCGTATGTGCACCACATGTATGCAGGGCACCAGGAAGCCAGAACAGGGCACTGGATCTCCTGAGACTGGAGTGATATGCAGTTGTGAGCTGCCATGTGGGTGCTGGGTTTTGAGCCCTGGTCCTCAGGAAGAGCAGACAGTGCTCCTAACCACTGAGCCATCTCTCCAGTCCCTCCACTCCCTTTTTTGAGTAAAATCAGTGGCCCATGAAAGGGCCACACTCACTTGGTCACAGCTGAAGATCTCACCACTGGAGACCTCTGTCACCAAGACACAGACTAATGTTGGGGTAGAGATCTAAACAGTTGTCTCTTATCAACATTCTACAGGAAAATGTCACCGCTCATCATGGCTGCGTGACCACGAGGTGTACAGTGAGCACCCATGATGACTGTGGGAACAGCACTGGGTTCCTGGCCTGGGTACCTGCTGCCAGCCTGGCATATCTCACAACCCCAGGACCAAACAGCATCGTATGCAGGACGCCTCCCGGGCTGGTATTTTTACAATAGTTCTACCTCTGGGCTCCCTGGGTAGCACATGGGGGAGCCTCAGATGCCCACAAGATACTCCCTGAAAACATTTCTATAAAATGAAGGCGTCTGCTGAGCTGGGGAGGCCATCTCAACTCTAAAATGATTGCTCTCTATGGAAAGCTCTCAGAGTCCTAACTATCAGAGCGAGGCAGAGGGCAGATCTCCATGGAGGATACTTGAAAATCCGCTCCTAGGAAATCAGAGTTCCCCTGCAGAATCCTCATAGCAGAGGGTCAGACACAGACAGAGGACCATGTGCTCTTCTGGTGGCTTCTAGGAGGAAAGGTATAGCCAAGTGGTAGCTTACTCGCCTAGCATGTACAAGACCCTGGGTTCAATTTCCAGCACCCCAAAATAGTCAACCAT